CTGTTCGTGCTGCTGTAACAAACACCTCGGGTGATCTCTGGGCAGACCTCCCTGGCTGCAGCTCTGGAGGGGGACGTCCCACCCTGAGGCACTGGTGGGTCTGGCGATTCTGATCCAGATGGTGCCTGCGCTCTGCATTCCCCCACGGCAGGAGGTGGAAGGGAGGGCGTGACCCACCCCCCAGAGCCTGTTGTACAGTGACATTAATGTGGTCACCGGAGCCCCTCATTAGGCCCCATCTCCCAGCACTGACCCTGGGGACAGTGCTGTGCTGGTGGCATCCCTGCTGGCATCCCGCCTGCAGCCTAATCCCAGGGAAGTCTGACCCGACTCTTCATCACGGGTTCTGGGGGACACGGTCGCATCCTAACAACTAGGAACCTTGATTTCTCAAAAAGTCTGACCCCAGAAGAAAACACAAATGCTCTCTCATCTTGTATTGGTACAGAAGTCGATCGCCTCGATTTCTCTTATAACTGCTGCCCCCAGGATGCAGGAGGCATTCTCAGACTTTTGACCAGAATCCTTGAGACTGTCCTCAGGAGGCGCATCCCTGGCTGCTGCTGTGGACAGCTGCACACCACCTGGGCTCTCTGGGTCTGCCGGCAGCCCCTTGGTAGTGTCCAGGGCCTGGGAAGAACTTTCATGCCTTTTGCTACCTAGTTGAGTAGGGAGGAGGCAGCCAGAAGATGGGATCCTGGGCTGGCCACAATCAGGTGGCCCAAACATGAAAGCTGCCCACAGTTCCAGGCTGCAGGTGGGATGTTGGCAGGGAGACCACTGCAGCCAAGTCTCTCCCGGGCTTCCCCACAACACGCTTCCCAGGGAGCTCCCCTGTGCCTGTCAGTTAGCCCTGGAGTGTACTGATGCTTCTTATCTGGCAGGGAGGTAGACAGCAGAGCCTGCACTCCTGCACGTCCCCCCCCCGCTAGACTAGATTGAAAGTGATGTCACTGTATAACTTTGAATTCAAGATTACGCGCTGTGTGGGTGAAACGACCTTAACTTTAACATCTCTTGATGTTTCTATTTTAAAGTCGGTACCCAGGATGTTAGTTCAACACAGGTTTTGCCCTTTAATTGTAAAGGATTTGAGGTTGCCAGCTACTTGGTGACAGTGGCACTAACGGGGTAGGTACTGACGCATTGTTCAAGAGGAAACTGAATTACGAGGTGTGTCATGCCTAAAGCCTCGTGTTTCCCCCTCGGTTGTCTATATGGAAGCGCAGGGCTCATTTTTCCTGCCTGCCTACCTGCCTGCCTGTCATCCATCTCTACAAAGTAATTGTTTATTAAATGAGAAAGATGGGTGGGCCTGGGCTCATTGTGGCACCTGATCTAGCACCTGGTGGGTGCTCAGTGCCTAGCTCTGGTGGGGGAATCGATAAATCCAACAGGTGGGTCCACATGGGAGCTAATCCCATAACCCAGGACGCTGCCGCCATGCTCAATCAGCTACCAAATAGACGCTTTCGTTGGCCACATTAAATGTTACTAGGTTTTCCAAATTGCAGGACTTCACCCCAAACTTAATTTCCACAAGGAATAAGATGAGAAAAACAAAGGGTATATCTAACAGAGAGAAATAGTTCTCTTGAGTTTGCAGTTTGGTTTTCTCTTCTTTTAAATTGATTTACAGTTGTATGTAAATAAATTTATGTTTATATAAATGGGGGTTTCTGGACACTGGAACTTCATGATGCTGAGTGTGGGGAGGGCAGGAAGCAGATGCTTCGTGTTATCCCCAAGGAATGAAGAGCTCTGGGAACACGTCACAGTATATGCATCCTGATGAGAAGGCTCTGCCAGGTGGAAGCCAGTTTTTTTGCAGGATATATTTACTCCTGTTAGCAGCCCATGCTCAGGATGTGGGTGGAATGTAAGTGGGGCTATGTAGGCATCTCTCTCCAGGACAGGATGCCTGTTTAAATCAGCTTTGTAAGTAAGCATTCGGATCTTACCAGCTTACACCCTTTTTATAGCTAATCTTCCATCCTTCCAGAATGTACTTTTTCCTTATTTATTTCTCCTCTAGAAAGAACACTCAGGCCTGCTCCTTTTGCAGGTTCTGGTGAAGTTTAGACTCTGGGAACTGGGTCGGCAGCCATGGGCACTGTGGAGTTTGCCTCTCCCTGTGCCTTGTCAGTCTCCAGGACAGCTCTGGCACATTGCTGGTCACCACAGGGCCTCTGCAGATGCCTCTGTGAAGTTTGGGTGGTGGACTGTTCTGAAATTTTCTGTCTTGGAGATATCAGAAATTGTCCGGAGCTGCCTCTTGGGTCCCAGGAGTTGGTTCCCGTGGCCAACCTGCCCAAGATCATGCCTCAGAGGAGCCCAGCAAAGCTCCCTGAAGCTGAGGGCAATGAAGATGTTAGGGGAGCCTCGTGGACTGTAGCTCAGCCTTTGTCCTAGGTGTGCTGGGTTCTGACGGGAAGGCTCTCAAATCTGTTCCCAGGTAAATGCCCCACCTTTTCTCCTGCTTGCTTGAAGCATGCGGGTTTCAGAACCTGAATGAGTCTCTCTCTGTAAGAAACAGTGGCTCAGGGAGTTTCCTACATTTTAGTTTCAAAGTTTTGGGCATAAACTCGATGAATGACTCAGAGTTTGCCTGGCACCTGCTGTGACATCTCCCGTGCTATTTTCACCAGCGTCCATCTGGCACTGCAGGCTCCCAAGCTCCTTATGCCCTCGCCATGCCTGACTCTTCGTGGGACTCAAGGTCTCGCTCCCCTTGGTGTCTCCAGCCTTTGGTGCCTGCTGGTGACATAGTGGGTGCCACAGCAGTCTCCATCAGGAACGAATGCGTGTGTGGACTGCGCCATGGCTCCTGGGCTTGGTGAGCTCTTTGGAAATGCCAAGCTCCTTGTTTGTAAGGAAAAGGCAGCCATATTGCGGGTCTGGCTCCATAACCTAGGTGACGTGGTTCCGCACCGGCTGGCCTGACAGTCTCCTGCTTTCCTCAGATTCCCTGTGGAGACAGGTCGCTCCTTCAAGGGCCCTGCCCCTTTGCCGTAGTGTTTCCAGGTTCTCTCCAGGCATCTCCCTCAATACCTCTCTTTTCTGTGTCACTTAATAGGTGACAAAGAGGAGACCCATGGCATCCGCCTCCTCAAACTCTCTGCCTCCACTCACTTTCTTGTTATTACTCTAGTCTGTGTCCATTTGGATCCTGTCCCTGTCCCTGCAGCATTTCTGTGACTTTCCGATCTGTCCGTCTGCAAGGTCTTGCCGTCCCAGGCTGCCTCCCCTCCCTGCCCCAATCTCTGCTGCAGCCACACTCAAGCTCCTGGTCCTGCCTGCTCTCTGCTGTCCATCTTCACCCAGCTGTGTCCACTCCTAGAGCCCCTGTCCCCTGTCTTAAAGTCATCTTCCCCTTTAAGACAGATCCCCCAGATTTAAAGATGTCATTCAGGAGTCCCCTCTTGGTGACGTCTTCTAAGGCCCAGGGAGGAGGACTCTCTTGCCCAGCATCCCCGCTCGTCCCCGTTCAGACTGCTCATGTCATCTGTGTTGCTCTGTCATGCTCATAACCCTGCCCGTCCTGCCTCTGCCAGCCACCTCTCCCAGAAGTAGACTTGGAGACTGTCTTACTTTTGTGTCCCCAGCACCTGCCTCAGTGCCTAGAAAAGCAGGCAGTGCTCAAGAAGTGTGGCTTGAATGGATGGATGGACAGAAAGATGCATTTGTGCTGAACCCACGGGAAGGAGGACTCTTTTCCTCCTGGGAAGGGTCTAGTTGGTCTCCCAGGAGAGCATGGTGACTGCAGTAGAAGCGCGCTGGCTGGTCACTTTGGAGGGCCTTGGTTACCCGCTTCAGTCTGCTTGCCAGAGCGTGGATATGGCATCGAGGCCAGGACCGCTCAGCCTTTGTGATGAGCTCTGCCTTATCTAGACTAACTTAGCTCTACCCTAACATCACTCAAATGTGACTTGGATTATCTGGTCTTTTTATGCGTGGGATCAGGGTATTGGAAGAGGCAAAGGGAAGAAGAAATCAGAGCTGCAGAACTGTGTAGCTCATTAAAATGCGTTCTGGACACGCCCACCCCATCTTACAAGTAAGTGCCTGTAGAGTGATCGGGAGTGTCAGTGCGGATAGGGTAGTATCATCCCTACCCATCTGTTTCCACCTCCTAGGGCTCTCAGGGCTGCTTAAGGTCTTCCAGAGACCACACTGCCTGCCTCAGGCAGGCTGGACAGTTTCTTTGCAAGTTTGCCCATGTCTTTTGGGCTCCAGCAACTGGTTGGCTTCCTGCTTAGCTGCCTGGAATCAGAAGCCTTCCGATTTCCCCTAGGTAATGGGAGTGCCTGTCAAATGCCAGCCCTGAAGGAAAGCCTCTGCTGTGTTGTGCAGAGGCAGGTCTTTCCATCTCTGTTGAATTCGTCAACTCGAACAGTGGAGAGGTGGGTGTGTGTAGCTGTAGCCTGGGAAGCCGTGTGCTCTACCTACTGCTAATTATCCCTTTACCTTTCCTCTAGAAGTTAACAGGATATGGTCTAATATTTTCAATTTAGGGTGAAATCATGGTTGATGCCTAAAAAATTATTCTTTCAGGTGAGCAAGAAATGGATTGCAATGTGTCTATGATATTACACTATTAGTTTTCTAAGAGATTTCTGGTAATTTTTGCCCTCTCTTAGCCAAAAATAGAGGCATATCAACAGAGGTCACTGCTGTTGGATTCTTTATCCAAATAAACTGTGTAAGATCAGAGGTTGGTGAAATACAGTTTGCACAGCAACGGGAAGGGTGACAAGGGCCGTAAGTCATTATTTTGATGGGGCACCTTTGACCAAAACAAGCAGAAGATGCTGCTTCCTCCGTGAGAGCCCCGCTGTGTTCCCGAGGGCCAGCTGTGTGCGTGCGCAGACCTCAGGGTTGTGAAGGACTGCTGCCAGCGTCCCTCTAGGTTGCGGACAGTGTTCTTTCCCTGAGCCAGTCTACTCTGTCTGGCTGCAGGTGGCCAGAGTCATGTATGTCTTTGTCACTTTCCCCTGCAGATTTCAGCAATGTTCCTGACATCCCCACGGGTCTGAAGAGGAGTCAGACCGATGGCACCCTGGACCAGGCGTCACACAGGGAGAAGATGGAGCAGACGTTCAGGGTAAGCTGCCCCAATCACAAACCGAGAGCCAGGCAGCCCGGGGTGAACCTCTACCTGAGATGGGAAAAGGGGAGGTAGACTCATCCTGTCCCTGGTACAAACTTATTTTTCCCCTTAAAGAATATATTTTCTTTTTACTTTTTTAAGTGTTAAGTACAAATGGGAGCCATTATCTTTTTTTTTTTTAATATCTATCTATCTATCTATCTATCTATCTATCTATCTATCTATCTATCTATCTATCTAGTTAGTTAGTTTTCAGCAGACACAACATCTTTGTTTGTATGTGGTGCTGAGGATCGAACCCGGGTCGCACGCATGCCAGGCGAGCACGCTACCGCTTGAGCCATATCCCCAGCCCCAACCATTATCTTTAAGCAGAACTTTGGCATGATATTGAAGGGAGCAGCGAACGGTACCATTCCTACATTATGATGGTTTTGCTTAGCTATTTTGACAAGGAAGTCCTAAACTCAGGTGTTCCGAAAACCATGTTAAATTACTATTCTGTTCCTTTCTACATCCCCCCGACCCCCTCCCATCTCCGCCCTGCCCACCGTGGTGGGAGGGTCAAAGGTAAGCCATTTTTGGAATGCTTTCGTGTTATTGTTTTGATTAAAAAATACATAAAATGAAATGTGTCACTGTCACCATTTTCAAGCATACACTTCAGTGGCCTTCAGCATATTCAGTTTTACAACATCTTCATCATCCATCTTTTAATCCACACAGAAACTCTGCCCAAGAACGAGTCGTTCGCCATCCTCTCTTACCCTACCTCCTTGGTAACCTCTGTCGTACCTTCTCTCATTTGCCCATTCTAGGTACCTCATAGATTAGTGGAATGATGTGTGTCCTTTTTCCTGATACTGATTTCATGCATCTGAATTCACCCATGTTTTAGCCTGTGTCAGATTTTCATTCCTATGAAGACTGGATAATATCCCGCTGCCTGTATAGCTCACATTTTGTTTGCCCACTCATCTGTTGATAGGTGCCTGGGTTGGTGCTGTCATTTGGTTATCGGTGAGCGAGGCTGTGGCAAATGGTGGAGCATAAATGTCTGCTGAAATGCTTGTTTTCCATTATTTCACTTATACACCTAGAAGTGGAATTGCTTGGTTGGAGGCCTTTCTGCTGAGCTCTGAGGAATAGTCCCACTAGTCCTCACAGCGCTGCCCCCTCTTACACCCCACCAGCCACTTACCAGGGGTCCAGTTTATTCAACGTCCCCAGTGGCTCTTGTTACAGTCCCTTCTTTTCCTGCAGGTTTAACTGTTTGTAGTTGGCTACTTTCAAAAGGGGTCTGACATGATGTATTTAAAATCCAGTCTCGATTTTGAAATTGTAACTGTTTTGTATTAGTTGCTTTTCTCTTAAATACGAAATATGAATGGAGGAAATATGAGCAGCAATAGGTTGGCTTCGCATCACTGACCAAAATACATGACCAGAACAATTTAGGAGGAGGAAAAGTTTATTTTGGCTCACAGATTCAGTTGTGTAGACCAAGGTGAGGCAGAACATCGTGGGGAAGGATGTGGTGGAGGAGACCCGCCACACCATTCATGGTGGCCAGGAAGCAGAGAGAGGGAGGGAAAGGGGGCTGGCCACAGGGAAGGTGAACCCCTCCATCCCACGCCCCCCAGTGACCCACCTCCTCCAGCCACGCCCCACCTGCCTGCAGTTACCTCCAGTCAGTCCACTCAAACTAGGGTGAACCGCCTCACCTCTGAACACTCCTGCATCAACATCTAAACCATAACAGCAGGAATTTAAGTAAAAACTAAAGTGGGACTGCATGCCATTCGGGTTTAGACCAACTCCAGGAGCCAGCCCCTGGGTGGCAGTCTCCATGGCTGAGCCATGTGGCACGCCCTTTGTGGATAATGATGTCCACTATGAAGGGCACATCAGGTGAGAGCCTGCACCTTCAGAGTGGTCACTCCCTGGTGTCCACTCCTCTCTTCCCTTCCCCTTTCCTCCATTCCCTGCCTGCCTCCTGCCATAGCTCTCTACCCTTCCCTGCCAACTCCTCAGGGTCTGCTCATGGCCCCAGGATGCAATTTCTCCTCCTAAACTGAAGTCCATCAGCATTTTTAGTATTATTCCTGTTCTATCTCTGGTGGGTTTTTTACTTTTAGAAACCAATATTATAGCAAATATTCATCAATATTTTTTTATGAAGCCGTTGCTCCTAGAGCATGAAATAGATAAGTTTCTTTGCCTTATTATTATTTTTTTTAAGAAAGCAAACATTCCTGAAACACTCATGAAGTGAGGTGCTCTATTTAAAGCAAGTATGCCCAGGAGGCACGGGCACAGCATGGCAGCTGGGGGAAATCACTTAGCGCCATCAAGGATAATGATTTTCTCTCTGTGATAATCTGCTTGAGTTACACATTGAAGTTCTTAAGAAGGAAATTAATTCCCCACCCCAAATTTGTTGTATTTTAAGATTCAATAAAATAGATATGTGGAAAGTTAGCATGTTAAGGCTATTTCCAACTATCCAATGACAGTGGCTGCGGAAGATATAGCAGTTATAAAGTCAACCTGGGAGCATCAGTTAGGAATTTAGAAGAGCAGTGAAAGCTGTGGTCAGGTTGGAATTGGGGTGATCTGAGCTCTCATCTCCATTGTTACTCATGGTGAAGGGAGAGTGCAAATACATGCATTCATGCATACCTTTATACCTACCAAAGAACACAGGAGAGAGAACCTATTGAAGGAGACTACCAGTTAACTATCCCCTATCCAGAATTCCAGACACCAAAAGAATTTGGATTTCAGACTTTTTTCAAATTTTAAATATTTGCACTATATGTTTGAGGCATCTTGGGGGCTGGGACCCAATTCTAAACGTGAAATTCTTCTGTTTCATATGCACCTTATACACAGCTGCTGGAGGTGATTTTATGCCGTGTTTTTAGGGTGCTTATGTTTTGACGGCACCCCCCCCCACATGAAGTCATTTGTGCGATTTTCCATTCGGGGTATCATGTCGTGCACAAAACGTTTTGGACTTTGTAGCATATTGGATGTTAGATTTTTTGGATTGGGGACACTCAGCCTGTGTGAATAGGTTAATCATTTGCTGCAAAATTCCTCTCAAGTGTATGGTAATCACCTTCCTGAATTTTCAAATATTAACATACTTAGGGAAATGCTGAGTGGTTGATGTGTTCCTTGTTTCTTAGGGAAAAAGAATCAAATGGCACCAATAATAATAATTGAGATGGATATAAATGAAAAGTATGTTTCAAATTTAATGATAAAATATGTTCTTCTACACCTTTCTAACCTCCTAGGGACACTGTTGTGTCTGAAAGCAGTCCTCTTCTGTTTAACATGGTGGCTGGGAGTGTCTTGATGCCCAATGTCGGGGAGCAGATCCTCAGGATGCCCCCAGGCACTGTCCTCTATAAGGTGCCCGCAGGACAGGGTCGCTCTGAAGGAGAAGTCCTGCCCCTGCTCCTGGTTCTTCTCAGGGTCATTAACTTCTTTTCAGATTAGACTCTGGTTGAACCTGGGCCATTTGGGATATTTTACTAACAAGTATTCTAGACTCGATAATAAGGAATAATTTCCATTGAAAATCAAACGAAGCCTGGCTTGATGAAGCACAGCTGTAACCGGGGCTTTTGACAGCCCAGCAATTTCTGCAAATGGTTCATAATTGATTGCCTTCTCTCTCCTTAAGGGTGCCTATTACTGTCACCGCTCTTTGTGTGACCCTGTCAGCCTCTCCTGGGTGGGGGATTCCCCCCCCCAGTATTGTTAGCAATTAGCATATGCTATTGTAATAGTTGGGAGTTTGAAAGGAATAAACAACTTTTCTTCAGGCGAGGGGGTTGAAAGAGTTTTGGGTTTGTCGTGGGAATTCAAGGTGTGTGAAGCAGTCCCCCCACGGACTTGGCACTGGCTCTGAAGACGTAGCACTTGGTGGTTCTGCCGTCTCCACGTCTGCCGTAACCTGGTGCCTCTCCAGGCAGGCAGGCTCACAGTGTAGGGTGGGCATCTAGAGGAAGAGGGCGAGCCTTCCCCAGTCCCTGCTTTGGCTGCTTTGGAGGAAGAGGGCGGTGGTGCTAGGATGTCCTCGTGGATGTGACTGGGAGGAACAGTTTGGGATTTTTTTCCTTTCATTGCCTGGGGATGAGAGGGGGAGAGGACGTGCCTGACACGTCTCCCTGCAGCTGACTTGGATGTGATCCTTTCTCTCAGAGGGAGCAGTTTCCTTTGAACTTGTCTCTTTTATGTACAGCATGTAAGTAAAGGAGGGTGTGGGTTTTCTTGGGTGTAGATTCTGATCCAATTGTGGGCATGCTTAAATGATTTTCTTCGTTGAAAGTTGCTTTGACTCAAAAAATGTCTCGGGCTATTATGTAGATGAGAAGACACTGTTTTCCTTCCACAAGGTATTCCGGCAGTAATCTCTGAGCTCTCTCGATGGCGGACGGTACGAGAACTTTCTTTTGTACACTAGTTCTGTGGCGTGGTCAACTTTTCCCCTTCTCATTCTTAGGTCTTTGAATTGATCTCAGAAATTGTTTTGTCAGAGACAGATTATCAGAAAAGACTAGGAACATATTTACTCTGTGTAATGTGTTTGAAAAGAGAGAAAGGAAGAATTCACTGGTAGCAAATAATTTTCTGCTTGTAAAATCTGGGGAGCATAGCCCACACTTGCACTGGGCTTAATGCTGTGAAAGAAAATCCGCAAAGATGAAGCCCGTTTTCTACAAGGTAAGCAGAGTTTTTCATTTAGTTCTTCCCGATTAAATAATTTTGCAGCTTTTTAGAAGAATTTTATGTAATCACCTCGTGTAGCTTTGGCAGTGATTATTTTTGCAGATTGTAGGCGTTGTGTTGATAGAACAGAGCATTGAGAATCTGGAGATATACAGCATGACAACCGTGTGTTGTGCTCTTTGCAAGTTAATCATGTTTAAGTTATATTTTGTCCTGTTTATTTTTTCAAGGTAGAAGAAAAGAATGCA